CAGCTGTCGCCTCGCCTAAAGTTCTCTGTCAGTGTTCAACGATATAACTAACCATCTGTTTACGTAAAAAAATGATCCAACTTATTCTCTTAAACTAAGATTAACTATAGTAGCTCTTTATCATTCTTACATTTCACTTTGTCTTTGTCCTACTAAAGCTATGTTGTTGGGGTTTGATAATTTGGTACCCACGTTTTTCAGTTTATTTTATCTTATCTTATACATTAAAATGAGCAATTCTAGTATATATGTATATATATAATTGGAATCTCGGAATCGGCTCCAACGATTTTCATAAAATTTGGTATATAGGGGGTTTCGGGGGTGATAAATCGATCTAGCTAGGAATAATTTTTAGAAAATGTCATTTTATTCGTGTTTTACCGATAATCAACTTAATCATAAACTTGGAAGAAAAATAACAAAAAGGAGGCGTTTGAGTAGTCTCAAATAAATATAATAATATTATTCATATTTCATCATTTTATTATTATAGTAATTCGTACTTCAATATAATTTTCAAAAAAAACAATTTAAAAAAAATACCGGTCATCCAGGTACTTTCATTAAAATGATAAGAATTAATAGAGCTGTCATTGTCTATTAATAACTCGACATTTATATGACAGAAATGTGCTAATCTACATCAATTACATTATGTTGAGTTATCAAATTTTTGCCTCCGTCTGGCTGGCTATAAAAAAAATCTTACTAATATTATAAATGCTTATGTTTGGATGGATGGATGGATGTTTATTTGTAGGTATCTCCAGAACGACTGCATAGATCTCGCTAAAATTTGACATAGATGTAGAACATAGTCTGGAAGAACACATAGGCTACTTATTAAGTTTTTTTAATTCCGCGCGGAGAGTGTAGTGATAGCAAGTACATATATAAAACAAAATATAATTCGATAAATAGACAATAGCAATAGTATATTATAATTATTATGAACAGTGCAATCAACGCTACGTTTGGTACAGCTAATTTGGTCATCCATTGCCTTTTACCTTGACGGTTAGTCGATGAGCGTTTCCGTATAGGCCAGGTGTTGTAAACCTTTTTACTATCAAACATTTTTTTAACTACATTTTTTATATTGCTTGCACTTTTGTTAAAGTGCCTGTATTTTATCTCCGGATAATAAGTTATAAGTTATTTTGTTTAGATTTCTAAAACACAACCTTCTGCAGTCAACAGTTGATTAATAAATTATCAGCGTATCCTTCCTACTATCTCACGATCTATCTAATTGCCCCCGGTTGGTAACCTCTGTTTGTGTGCATTTTCGTAAGAGCCGTCAATTTTCCGACACACATGTAGTGAATACGTAATTCTTATTATGCATATATTTTCCTGCATACTGCGTTTACCTCCGTAATAACACACAATGTTGAATTAAACTCCAGAATATCATTATCAATGGAATTTTTTTTGGTCAAATAAAAAAAAATATTCGGTATGAAATCCTTTATTAACTTTTTTGGTATTTTTTGAGACATTTTTTTTTTTACTTTGTACCCACTTGACTGGAATATAAAAGAGAAATTTACAATGATCACAATTTGGAACAATGTATACAAACAAAATTAATACAATATAATATTTTTTCAAAGTATTAAGCTACGCACACACTTGCGTCTTGTTTGTTAAAAATAAAATGTACTTTTACATAAAATTTTCATTATATTATTAATCAAAAATATTTTGGTTCATATGTACGCAACTTTATAATACCGCATTCACTTAAAAGTGAATAATGCCCAAATAATATTTAGCTACAAGAAATCGTGTGAATAAAAAAACTTAAGTTTTATATGTGCGTTGGCATAAAAAGGAGCAAAATTTTGAAAATACAAATTTAATTTGACAAATTTTGGCATCAAAAAACACTTTGGCAATACAGGGTGGTATGTAATCCTTGGTCAAATAGGTTGTCAAATATTTATCCAAATGCCTACCACATTGTCTTTTCATATTTTCTTATATTTTTCCTACATTACGACAGATGATTTTACACTTGTATTATAAAATTTGGACCTTAATTCAACACAATATTCAGGAAAACACTGATACGAGTAGAAACACACTATATTATTTAATCATCTTAAAATGCTGTACTAATCTAGCATATGTATGATGTCCAAAATGTCTTTAAGTTGGCTAAAAAATCAGCTACAGCCGGTATTGTCAAGAAGTCAAATTCCAGGAATTCAACAAATTTTTGACAACTCTCTAATGTGATACCACCCTTATATTTGCCATTACATAGGCAATTTTTCCAAATAGTAATAGCTTCACGCTCAAGCACATCTTTCAATTTGTTGACTATTTAATCTATCTACACTATAAGCAAATCATAGTTATGTTTAGTTCGTTTCATCTCGTATACTTATAGCATCTGAAAATGGCATAAATAATAAAATTTGACATATAAAAAATATATTGTCAACGAAAATTGCAGAAATTGCAAACATTTTTGGTCAAGACACTCAAATCTAAACTAGTCAATTGACTTTCGTAAAATAGTTCTCTAGAACTGTTATATGTAGTATTAAAACTTGTACTTATGGAAATTATAACTGCATTTTGACCAAAAAAATGTAGACAAAACTCACGATATTCGACAGATTAGAAATAATAAATCAAAATAATAATACATATAAAATCAAAAATAAGAATTAAAATATAATGATAATTAATTGTATATAACATACACGTCAAAAGATAACGAACACGTGTCATTTTTACGATTTTTATGACAATAAAATAATTATTTACAAATGTATACATAGCCGATAAAAAAATTACAATACACGATTTTGAAATATTTTTTTTATTATAAATCACACGCACTTATTTAATTATTTTGATTTGTACTAAACAAATGAAATGACTCACGATTTTATGTTATAATAAAATATAAATGATTGTTATTGATAAAATGTCTAAAAAAAAATTATTAATAATCTATGGTCTTTTTATACACTTATTTATAACAAATTCCAATTCAAATATAAACAATTATAAAAATTATCAAGCCTTGCATTTTTCTAAAACATAAAGATGACGTAGTATGGAAAGAATATCGCTTTATAAAAAAACATTAGCAATTTTTTTTCACATGAAACATAACTATTAACTATGATTCGCTCACAAATAACAACAATCGGACTTTCAACAATTTTTACAACAATATAGTAATAAATAAAAAAAAAACATTGGCTATTACAAAAAAACCACATTGGTAGTCTTCAGATATTATGTGGCAACACTGTTCAAAAACAAACATGACATTTATAGTTTATATTTAATTCATATTACCTAAATAATAAAAAAATTATATACACATCATATTATGCTTCCAGAAAATTGTTGCTAGAATCCTAAAATATCAAAGTACCATTGAAAGTGGGTCTCCTTTATTCACTAATCATAAAGGTTGTTATGTATCTAAATGCATAATATAACGCTACTACACGTATGACATACAAGCTATAGTTATATTATACGATTTTATGTCAGCCTTTTTAACGTATGAAAAAAAAATCATAAATCGACATTTTTTTTTTCTATTCGAAAATTTTTGTAGGCTGACATAATTGTAAAATACAAACAACATTATGAATTAAGTGAAAAAGCTGTGACCGTAAGTACACAGCGAGACAAATAAGCGAATTATCTTTATATAAAAAATAAATCGTCATTGTATATGTAAATATTTTTACACTTTTTACTATGGTATTTTTACAAAATTAGTATTTTTCCAAAAATTTTTTACTTGGTCTATGACAAACTTTTTGAGGGAATTAAAAAAAAATTAAGCTCTATGTTTTGTAAAAAATATTTACATATCAACAAGGATATTGCAGCATACGCTACCTTAATTAATACTTTTTTTATAGTATTATTTGTCATTTTTTTATTTTTTTTTGTAGTATGGCACCACAGCCATCGTACATGACAATCACACTCGTGAGTTATTGTGCAAAAACAAATAAATGTTATATGCAAGTAAAAATTACTTTAGAGACATACTGAAAAGCAAAATTCATTTTGAACTTACCGCTTTATATCTTTTAGTTAAGAAGAATGTATTTTCTTTCACATACTTGTATAATATTTACCGTGAGTTTCCGAGACCAAAATCCCAAATTAAAATATACTGTTATGTCTGTTTTGTCAAAGATAATGACATGAGGGATTACAAATGTTGGTCTCAAAAACCAACGGTTAGTCAAAGTATGTAAATTGAAGAAGAAATTATTATACTTATGTTTTGTCGAATTGAAATTTACAACGAAAACTTTATTATGTTCTGCCTCTAACGATTTACAACTTACATATAGCATTAGCTTACTACCAAAAGAAAATTTTATTAGAATAATGAGAGCAAAACGATTGTTTATCTTACATCACAACCACCTCCCGTCTGCCTACATTTTTAAGCTCATTTGTTATTGAAATTTAGATTTTAAAACATGACAATTAAGGTTCAATTTCAAATATTGGCACTAAATCTAAGCAAATTCATGATTACAAAAACTAAAATTACACATGATTTAATATGGTTAACTTATTTCAACTGTGCACTACAGCATTAATTGTGGGTTTCTGATACCAAATATCTGTATAGAAGTTATGTTCATCCCTGTCTATCATCTTTGACAAAACAGAGAAAACAATATGTTTTAAACGGAGATTTTAATATCAGAAACCTGTAATAAATGTAATGAATTCATCTAATTTAACAATCGCTCCCAAATATCGCGGAAAAAAATTAGGTAAAAACGCTTAAAAATTGCTGGCAAAAAAAATCCTGCATTGATTGGATAATGAGCTAAAACGACTTCGATTGTAATTTTCCCGGAAGAATGAAACAACATAAAACGATGATCCAGATTTACGGATTTTTTTTAAGAATTTGTTTTTTTTAATGAATTCAATAAGAACAAAAATAATATAAAAGAATATAATGCTGACGGCCGCAGTGAATATTTGTGACAATTACCTACAATATTTAACATTTGAAATTAACATATTTTACGCATTACGCAAAAACAAACATAACCAACGCATGCAATTATATATTCTCATTATTTTTTCCAAGCATTCTGATTTTTTTTATTCTATTTGCCTTATTTTATCTACGTATTTAAAACTCGAACGCAGTTTTAATAGGAATTCGTAAAATAAATAAGTCGATTTTTTTTCGAAACCTAAAGGTACCATACAATCGAGCTAGCTTTTCGATTTTATAAAAAAAACGTTGTAAAATCGAAGAGTATGAAAATCACAATATCTTAAAAAAATACGGGGACGTTTAAATAAATAATAACGTCACAAAGTCTGGCAATTAAAGGCGCCATAGACAAATGATATGTAGAATGCTTTGATAAATATTTGAGCATAAACAGTTGACAGTTATGTAAATTTATGACGTTTTTAATCTTCATTTTGGTACAATGTTAAAATGTTGCCAGTGAAATTTAATTTTAATTACAATTAAAATAGGTAAATTTGTAAAAGTTTTTTTTTGTCTATGAAGTCTTTAATATAACAGAAAAACTACACTTAAAAGATTAAAATATAAATGGCTTTATTGTGGTGCTACTCTATTAGACAAAAATATTTTTGCACATATATTAAATCACAATAATCACACACTGTTCTTTCAATTCGAAAATTATTTTTAGAAAAAATACATCAATTTTTGATTCCATTTATCTCCAAATTTTCAAAAATATTTACAGCACAGTCTATTACTAGTTACCATGATTAATTTTTAAAATTTTAAAACATTTTTTTCTTCACATTACAAATGTAAGACTTAAAAAGAACACATTTGACTATTTATCACTAAAAAGATCATTCCCACTCGTCATGTAATTAAAAAAAAACTCAACTTAATGTAGGATTATTAAATTATTTTTTTTTAAACCGTATATTGCTATGAAGTTAAATAAAAACCTATATAACACACCATCTTGAGATCTGTCATTCACTTATGTAAGATTTTTCAGAGTTTTTTTTCCACAGTTTTTATCACATTTTTATTTAAATACTGCTTCCTCTTAGGTGCTTTGTAAGATATGTAAAAGTCATATTGCCAGAATAAAAAAAAATTGTGTGACATATTGCCGAACCCGTGTTGACACACTAGTGGAGGTTTTTGTTTGGTACTGACAACACTGCATTCAAGACGTGTACTTCCCTTTGCTTGGCGAAGCCTGACAAACGAAAAAAAAGTTTATAACTCACACTACTCAACAACTAAAAAAACAACCAATTTTCATCTATCCTTTCTAGTCGATTGGCTTAAAATTAATATTAAAAAACTACTTCTAAAGAATAATATGACCCTAATCACGACACTATTTAATTACTGTGAATTCCCAATGGAACATCCATACAGAGAAAAAAAAATTTTTTTTGTAGATAAACAGATGAACGAATATAAAAATGTTTAGGATACCTGGCTATGTCACGCGATCGAGTTGACCGCGTAGTGTGGCCGGGTGCCCTCCGGCTGGTACAGAGTTATCGACGCTATGTAGTTGTTTGACATCACCTGCAAATATATACAAAGTTTTATGGTCTTTCAAGTATTACATACTCTCTGTAGCCCGCGACTCTGTCTGCAAGTTACTAGCCTATTTGTTCTTCCGGACTATGTTCTACAACTATTCCAAAATTATTAAGATACATTGAGCCGTTTTGGAGATACCTTCTGATACATATTATAAATGGAAATGTTTAGTTGTATGGATGAATGTTTGTTTGCAGGTACCTCAAGAACGGCTGAACGGTTCTCGATGAAATTAGGCATACATATAGAATATAGCCTGAAAGAACACAAAAAGGTTACTAAATACGTTTTTTTTTTATTTGCGCGGACGGAGTCGCAGGCGACAGCTAGTACATACATAAATTAAAAGCATCACATTTATAATATTAGTAAGATAAAGAGATAGAAAAGTGTTACTAATAAATAAAAATTTTGATGAATCTTTGTTAGAAGATGCTAACTCACCTCGAATATGATATCCTGGTATCCGTAACAGAATGTGGAACCGAATGGGTTGGTAGTGTTGGTGGAGGAGGCGCGGTTGAGCACGACAGGACGCTCGCAGACACGCAGCGCACGCGACACCGTCTCCCACTTGCTGTACGCAGTGATCGTCACCGCGCCCCGGCTCTCCACCAACATGTTCGATTCACATCTACACCAAAATAACAATCTATTCTAGTATAACTCTTTTTAAATATCTTGCAGGCTCTGTCATGTGCGCGCTGCGCAATTCCCTCCACGCACATACCACTACGCCCCAACACACCTAAAAGAACAAAATATACGCAGCTACTCGCGCCAAGTTAAGAGCTACCAAGGCTTATAAAAACTTTCCTTCCTTTTTATTTCCTCCGCCAAATTCACATCCCATTACCAACCTCTCCTTATAAGTAAAGTCTGACAAGGGAAAGCAGACTTATATTACAACTTCGACATACAAAAGAGACCAGATTTCGGATTTCTATTTGTCTTAGGCCTGGCACATCACTGTCATATGCCACAGATTATGTAAAAAACTTACTGATTTACGAATGAAATAATTATAAATACAGACTTGTCGGGCTGCACGGTGAGCTCGAACTCGCAGCGGTGGTACATGTTGAAGTTGTAGTGTCCCGGGTAGTTTGTGTGCAGCACGAACTTCTTGACGCGGTGCGTGCGAGCATCGAACAACACGTCCTGTAAACAGGGAATATCAAATGTTAATAGCCCATATAACTAAACTGAAACTACGAAGCATTGTAAAGGTTCGAATATAATTTTTATTAAGTTTTTTTTAAGTAGTGATTTAACTCACCAATCCCAAGGTGAAATAGTTGAAGAAGTAGTCTGAAGCAGGCGGGGGCCGGCGGCGCGCGGTGGGGCGGTGTATGCGCATCTTGTCGTCCGCCTTGTAGTAGAGGCGCGCGGGGGCCGCCAGCGCGCGCGACACCGCCTGGCAGCTGTCCCCGAACCGCACCACGCGCCGAATTGTCTGCGTGCCCTCGCCCGATCGCGAACTTCCTGGATATAACAACAAAACTAATCATGAGTAAAATTCAATTCAATACTATTCAAAGAAATAAAAATAATTAAAAATTCGTATTAAAACAAACCTTTATCCCTCTTTGACAAAACAGAGACAGCAATTTTTATTATAGATGGAAACTAAAGCTATACTTAATATGCCAGTTATTGTTAACATTGTGCCAGTCATATGCCAGTAATGATTTTGAGCTTGATGTCCTACTTGTATTGGCAAGGTGTAAACTAGACATAAAATTTAAAACGCCAAACGTGTATAAAAACTGTTACAATAGCCATTTTTATCTCCGAAGACCAAACATATATTGGCCAAAACCCACATACTGGTAGTTTTGAATGTCAAAGTACCAGGCGATCATAAATTTTACTATATCACCTCCAAAACTCATAATCCAAACATAGCACGAAGGTTGGACGTGTCCAGTATTACGTTATAGTTCAAAAATACCAGGCGTACATAACTAGTTCAATAGTATACCTTCAGTGTACATGTGCAGTCGTAGCGCGATGGTGGCTGCCGGCGAGCGTAGCACGTCACAGCGGCGCAGGTGCAGCTGCTGCCGGTAACACGACAGTGGCAGCTCGGGCAGCGGCGCCGCGCACCGCCCACTAGTGTTACTACTGCTCAACTGTCGGGCAACATTCAATAAAAGTTAAATAATAGATTTCTTTAATTATAAGATTTAATGGACGGTGGAGGAGACTCACAAAAAGAGAATATTTTCCCTTCCCATGTGTCCCCTCAATCAAATATACTTGCTCTTCGTATCCCTCGTCTGTAAGAAAAGGGTGGGAAAAGACTAAAATTAGACCTGGCGCTAAAGTTACTAAATTGTTTATTTGTTTACCTGATGTTGTGATCCATAGTAGATCGTAGTTCGGGAGACGACAGGAGATCCGCCGTTAGGGAATTGTAGGGAGCCCAGGCCGTGCGCGTACCCGGGCTGAAATAGTAAACGGCACATATTTATAGATAAAAAATTTTAGTCTTTATTTATCACGATAAGATTTATCTTTCAAAAGGTCTTTAGCTCTTTTCGAAGAAGCCATAAAATATTTCTACACTATCTTATGCGATCCTGGTATTTCATCGAATAATATTGCGAACTCTTTCTCTTCTACCAATGAGTTTTACAACCAAGATATTATTTGTACACATATAGTTTTCTCTGTTTTGTCAAAGAGAGTGAAAGAGATGACAATACATGCCACCGCAGTTTACCATATGAGCCTACTACTATACCTCAAATTTACTATCAACAGGGAAATAGAATGAAAGTCCTCTAAAGTTGAGCGCGAAGAGATGCCGCTGCGAGTCGTAAAGGCCGGGGTGAGTCGCGCCAAAGCAGTGCTCCACCTGCTCGATAGACGGCGTGACCTCCGGCGAATTGAAGCACATGCCACTGTAATTACAATTTTATGCACATAGAAATAAAGCTTAATTTCAATTCAAAGGAATTGTGGCTAAACATAAGTTCAGAAATTTTAACACAACTTTGAAAATACTAATACTACTTTGATTTTGACAATGAATATAAAACGAACAAATGATATGAACATTACAAAAAATTGTTTTAACCATTAATAAAACATGATCGAATAATAAATTACATTTTTCCAATAACAACCGTTAATGTGCATGTACGCGAGTAATTTGCTTTGTCCCTGACAGATTGGCGCGCGCGGGAAATAAACGCGCGAAAATTAAAATGTCATTAGGTCATAGAAATATACGAAGCGTAAATGCGAAACGTAAATGAAAACCTTGCACTGCATTGTGGCAACAAAAACATGTATTTATACATAAAATATTAATAGAAAAAATAAATTGACTAACATGGTCTTTGTATTGCTTGACATTCGAAATAATTTAAGTTTTTATTTATTATTAAAATCAAGACCTGACGATAATATCGGCGTAGGCTTCAAAAGATCGCATTATAACGGACATATATAGCAACATTGCTCTATGTTAGTTCGACAAAAAGTTACTGGCGACAAGAAAAAAGCATTTTATATGTTTTATTTCATTTAGAAAAATATTGTGTACTCACCTATACCTAAGCTTAACTAATTTCATATTGTAAATTTCTATAATTTTGAGGCGCTGCGCGACCGGATCGAATATTAACCGGATGCCGTCCTGCGGCATATTTATTACTAGGTCTACTGACAATGGATTCTGAAACAAAAGAACAAAGATTTCGATAATATTTTAAATTAACCAATTTCCCAAATTATTAAATTTAAATTAACCTTCATATGTCTGTCTTTATTACTCATGTAGGATCTATGCAACAGTTTTCGTCCTCCAAACCTATACTCCAAATAACCTCCAAATCTTTTGTCATTTCAGTCGTCACTCCCTTCTTAATCATGTCACCTTCCATACAATCTACCCATCAAGACGAAAAGAGTTACATGAGAGATGTATGTCTCAAGAAATGGAACTCTTTACGTATGTTCCATAATCATTTTGCGTCACTTACGTCGCAAAGTATTCATAAGGTAAATTACCGAATTTTAAGTAATCCCGCGTAAAGTCATACTCAGATTAGAGCAATAATTTATATTCATCTGTGATAATACTTCTAGCTTTTTGGCATTACGTAGACTTGCTAAACATAGAAAAAAAAACATAATACAAAAACTCATTTACAATATTCCTTAAGAGTCAAAATCTATACCTATTCTTTTTCCAAGACCTTGTAACACAACATGTTTTTACGCATTAGACAAATTTCAAATACACCTGCGTCTTTAACAAATGTTTTCAACACATTTGACTACACAGACTATAAGATATTACGATCAGTTTCCATTGTGTATACACCCGTACAAAAACATATCGTCAACACTTTCATTCTCTATAACAAAACAGAGTTGGCGATATATCGTCCAGATGTTCAGTGGAAACTTACCGTTAAAAACAGCTGTCAAATGGAATGCACCATAACAAAAGCGCGTCATCGTGCGAATACGTGATTTTTATTTATACACGTGTAGAATTATACTACGCGACAAATATAGAGATTAAATAATTTTTACATACAACACAAGGCATGAAACGATTGACTTAGTCTCTGTGAAATTAAAAAAAATACTAGCCTTTGCACAGACTGTTATGTGTCCCTGTTCCAATTTTTATCTAGATTCGTTCATCATACATTCACAAGCTTTTACGTTTATATATTACTAGCTGTGCGTTACGTTTATATATTATTAGCCAGCGAGTCCGTCCGCACGGAGTGGAAAAAAAAATTAATTAGTAGCCTATGCGTTCTTCCAGACTATTCTCTACATCTATGACAAATTTTAGCGAGATCCGTTCAGTCGTTCCGGAGATATTTTCCGATAAACATCCATCCATGCAAGCATTCGCATTTATAATATTAGTAAGTAAGATAAATATTTACCTGATCACTATATAAGACTTGTACGCCTCTTATTGTACCCACTTGACTCTGTATGATGGCAACCGATTGAGAGAAATGCATCCCTGTAACAAAAAATACAAATCAAAGTAAAATTAACAGCAATTTAATTTTTATCCATATATATTTCGTTAAAAAAAACTTGAGTATGTCATAAATACATAAGAAAACCTTCATTGAAGACACTCCAACTTTATCAATACGTCTAGACTAGTTGTCCGCGCCATTGTCAGCCCAGAATAAAAAAATAACCTATAACCTTCCCGCCAAAGTCCCATCACAGCCGTTCCGTAGATTATCCGAAACAAATACGACCTTTCGAACTGACAACATTTTATAAATTGTTTTTTTTTTGTTATCAGCAACGTAAATACATCACGTATACGAAATATGATTTTTTCTCGATATTACATACAGACATTTCAATTTTATTAATATGTATAGACTATATATTGTTCCATGGTAACAAAGATACTTAATAGTACGTGATCTCCATACAAAGTTGTGTTCACTAGCCAATTGATACTTGGCATAGAGCTGTAAAAAAGGTTACGTTCGCTTACGGAATATTAAAAACGCCGCCTATACCCATCAATATTTATTAAAAAACTATCGTCTGGCGCCAACCAATACTTTGATTAGCACAATTTTAATATCAAGTTTCTTTGAATGCTGGATCAGACAATTTTGTAAACTCGTGCATGAAAACTAGGTTATAAACTTTCGAAATAATTTGTAATTACCGAAACATTGATACTAAAATTTTCAGTGGGTTTCCATTGTCAAAACTATAGATTTTCCTAATAGTTTGGCAACCCACGGTTATAACCTATTAACCGATTGCCAGTTCAGTTTATAAATTAGCAAATGTCAGCGTTACCCCATTACCATGATGAGCAGGGCGTGACTAAAGTCGAAATATCCCTCTCAGGGCCAATTACTTCGCTCGGTTACACGAAAAATTAATTAACCTACGACATTACATTGGCTGCATTCCAATATAAATATACAGTACAATATAATTCAGTAATATTAGAATATTTCTAATTGTCATCACAATAATGACCTTGTTTTTGCCGTTGCTTTTTTCACATTCAAATGTTTATTTTTATCTCAAAGCATCAGAAAATGGTTCGGTCCATAAACATCGGCCGAATTACTATTTTTTTGTTGCTGTTAAATCTTCATTTAAGTACAATTCAAATATTTTTAATTGATTTTTCGTTTGTTTATAGCCTAAACGATGGCGTCGAGCCAAGACCCTTCACGATGGGTAAATTTCTGAAATAGGAGAATTTTAAACTAACAGAATAGCGTCAGTTACGTAATCAGCTGAAATTATTATAAATCTTATTACAGCACAACTATTTTTAACACAAACAAATATTTGGCAATTAAATTATAAGTTATTTTTACTAAATAATGCCTTCTTATAATCTGTAGGAAAACGGTAGTGTTTTCGTAAACACGAGTCAAAGGAAAGAGGTGTTTTCGAAGTGTAAGTTCCACTTTGAATGGTGAAAATGTATCACGATAGAGGCAAGTCTTTGTCGGGTTTTCCCGTTGGGTTGTTCGGCCGATTGATCAATCGGAAAAAAATCCATTGGGCTGTTCGTTTCTATGGATCCCATTGAGTCACATTATACGACTTTATTCTTTTTGTATTGATTTTTTCGAATATTATAACAGGACCTACATACTAAATATACAGGCTTCGTGCAGTCATCTTTTTGCGGTGAATTTATTAAAGTTCAACAACAGAAATAGCTCTAGCTATTTCAGATTCTGGTTTATAGACTAACGAAAGGTGAACGCGACAATAAAGGTGATTTTACACTGTTTTTTCAGTATTTTTTTATTTAACATAGAAACAATTTATTTATTTATTTAAGCGACATATTCCTGGATACGAATCTAGAAATTTATGCATAAAATATTATGATTCTATCTTACTTCTTACTAATATTATAAATCCGATATCTAAACATTCATTTAGATGGATGGATGGATGTTTGCTTGAAGGTTTCTCCAGATCGACTGCATGGAATTGAAATTTGTCATAGATGTAGAATATACTCTGTAAGAACACATAGGCTACTTATTAATTTTTCGCGGACAAAGTCGCCGGCGACAGCTTGTTAAATCATAATCACCGAAAATAACACAAAAACGTGTATTGATATCGTACGTTGTATGGTTTGCAAAAACAACATTTCAATGTCACCAGCTAGACACCGATATCATTGTAAACAATATTTTTATTCTATCGCTTGTTTTCAGCTGATAAAGTTTAGGCGTTACGCTATTTATGATATTATAACGCGCATTATCGTTTGTTACGTTATAAACAAGCTGTGATATTAAATTATTCATTTTAAATATTTTTTTCTATCAAATGAAACAAATATTTACCTCATATATTGCACATTTAATTTTAACGTTAGCGTTTTAAAAACAAGCTGTTTAATTTATAAAAAAATTAATAGAATGGATAGAATAGATGTCATAAAAGCAAGACATAAAAAGAGAAAGTGTCTGCCTTCTTCATTATAAAATGGATGATCCCTGCCATGCTAAGATGTTTAGCAGAATAAAGTATTGTAGAATGGTACTACACATATATATTTCAACTCTATGGAGTCAACAGATAGAGTAATAGAGAACAACAATGAGAGACACTAAGTTTTCTATACAATATTCAATCATGTGGTAATGAAATTAAATTCTTTGACTGCATTTTATTCATGTATTCACAATAAACCAACTGCTAACATTTTATCTGTACATTTTATCTGTTTACTGAATATAAACAATACACAAGTTTAATGACCACATTGTCTTTGTTTCATTAAAAACATGTTTCCTACATTAAAATAAAACAATGCAATGTTAAAAATATACCAATGTTAATTGTTTAATTAAAACATTCATTGGTAATTTCAATCTGCATACAAAAAAAAAGCTATATTTAATTTTTATTTACAACCAGCTCTTACCCCCGACACCATCCGCACAAAACTATAAAAAAATTATCAAGGAGCCTATATTATCTTCCAGATTATGTTCTATATGTATGTCAAATTTCATCAAGATCTGCTGAGTTGTTCTGGACATACCTTCACACAAACATCCATCCATACATCTAAACTTTAGCATTTATAATATTAGTAAGATTCCATGCAATGAAAAAGGTAACATCTTATAAACTATGTCACTCTTTTCTTTACATGGGTTGTTTATTTCTAATCGGTACCTTTTCAAATCCTTATGACTTATAATTGATAAAACAATCAGACACTAATATAAATAAATTCAAAAGATAAGTATTTAGTTATCTCAAATGATGCAATGATTATTTTTTAACAATAGATGTATTTTAGAAATTGTTTTTTCCTTAAAAAACCTAATTATGTTTATTGTTTGTCATTTTCCATGTATTTAAAATGTCAAAAAAACAATATTGTACATAAGAGAAGAAGGGTCGCCAACGCTTCTGGTTATGTGCAATATCAAAAGATCTGCAGATGCATGTCTATGTTTGAGAAGGTGATACAATGCAAATAATATTGTTTTCTTTCTTTTTTAAATATGAATAAAATATATGACATCCTAATAGATGTATTCAAACCGTGGACTCTTAGTTAGCAACTTTTATTAACTTGAATATGTTAATTTAATTTTAACTTATAAAATAATTATTGCATCTGAATAAAAGCCAAATACAAATATTTCTTAATAAGATCAAAACAGTTTCATTGTAAAATAATAAAAATTTGTTCTCTAAATGACCTCAATTTGAGATAACAGATCAATGAACTGAGCTTTAAAATTCATGAGATGGAGAAAAACAACTTTACATAAACCTTACATGTTTATTAACAATCAAAATAAACTATAAACTGCCTATTTCAATTATATATCAATAAAAATATGTTCCAAATTTTGTATATTATAATACATTAAATGTCAAGCTATTTCCAAGGAAAATAATATTAATTTATATTGTTTATTTAATGAAATAATGTGAAATAAGGACAGGAAAGAGTTCAAAACAGGTTAAACTACAAAATGTCGTGAAAAAACATAAAAACAAGGCAACCTTAGCGATTTCACGGTCAAGTGTAGCAATAAAAAAAATAAACATTCAAGGCACAGACGAAACAAAGACTCATGACACTTTGCGAATAAAAAATCAATGTTGCTAAAACATTGTTTGTGTAAGACATTTGATGATATAAATACTACTACAATTAACCCTAATATATGATCATTGCGTAAGATGATTCCCTTTGAAAATACAACGCAAATAATTGACGTAATGTAATAAACATAAGAGAACTCACCAAGTACGAATTCCCAGGTATCGCAACCCAGGGATCGCTCCGGAACGATTTCTAAATCCAACATCGTACACAAAACACTTAATAAACACTAAACTAACTAACTTTCACTTCAGAAAACTTAATTTTAACGTTTAAATGCGTTATTACGCTGCCTTTCTTTGTTTGCCAACTTTAGTTTTCAACCATTTTGTATTTGTCAGAGGAACTGTCATTACAAACAGCTGATTGTATTTTGTCAGGGAAGTATTCAAGGCTGAATTTTACGACAATTTACAGAATTATTTTTCGAAAAACCTATTCTTATTTGGTCTTTAAATAGGTGTTTATTTCGGTTTTTTCTTTATATTAGTAATATATTAAATAAAGGTTTGTCCAAACTTTCATAATAGAATCAACTATGTAAATAAAAAATTATCAATACGGAAGTTATTATGCTATTATTCAAATAGGCTAATCAATTACCAATATATTTTTATTGATTTTAAATATTTTACTCAACCTTACACAATTATAATAAACTAGATCGTTACGAAATTTTATACAATGTGAAGTTTTTATACGTTATATATTTTAGTTAACATGCATTGTAAATATAATAAAAGAAACTTGCTATTGCATGTACTCAATTTTATTTTAAATGCAATTATAATTTTTTGTTTTAATTTCCATTCACCTAATACAGCCCTGTATTAGCGTAATGACGCATGCGTACCAAAGCGAGGATAAATCTTAATGTTGTGTGAACTGTTTTGTACATATCTCTTTCACTCACGTGATTATTTACATCTGTTGTCTCTTTCATTTATGATTTCTACATCTCTCTTTCGCACATAGAAAAAATATATTTGTGTCCTTATCTCGTAGAATAGTTTAGACAACCTTACGATATTTCCATTGCCGTTCGTATTTATAATTTACGGATTCATTGCTTTTATTGAACGGTTATAAATGTAACAAGTGCAGTAAAAAAGCATTGTATAACGCTTAATTTTTGGAATGTTTATAAACACAATGTATGATTTCTCTTTTTGTTTTGTTCTATCTGAATCATGAATCTCTGTCAGACTGCTGGTCTACTTTATAAAACAAAGGATTATTTTATTACTGTCCAATAAGAATAATAGTTTCTATTGTAATTTAAACATTATGAAGATAGGTATATAAACTTTATTGTACGTTTTCAATGATGCTGTTGCAGATATATCGGTTCGTTTCCCGCCATTAATGTTAACCTTCGTACGATCTCCACGCCCACACTTTCGACATATAACGTAACTGTTGTGTAAGAGTTGTTTATGCGAACATATTAAAAATCATGCGTAGAGTTTAGCGCAAGCATAATAACAAGCACGTTATGAAACGTATTGTTTTGATTAAATTGTAAATGACCCAGTTAACGTTCGTTAGTTGAAATTATGTTTCATTTTATTTAACTGTTATAAAGAAGTGTAACATCTCCAGAATAGCTGAACATACTCCGGAATAACTTATGGGCTACTAATTATGTTTTTTTTAATACCGAGCAGACGGAGTCGTGGGCGACCGCTAGTTTGTAAAAAATCAATATTAATTTTAACTAATTAATGACAAACTATTATCATGGAATTAGCAAATTTCATATGGTAATCGAAATAAAATATTTTTTATAATGTTTATCTTTTTTATTCCGCATTTTAATGGTTAAAGGACATGCAAATTTCCAGCTTTATGTAATAACCATTGCCAAAAACATCCGCGATTCTTTTAATAAGGAAAATATTACATTTTACAGTGTAGTACTTACTCAATTTGTATGTTTGACTTGAATAAATAGGATAACATAAAATAGATTAACTTTTTTACATTTCTTAAGGTTTTCAGTTGAAGGGCCTTTAGTTCTATAGTAGGTTCATAAAGTCTCTCATTGCAGTGACAATTTTAATTGTTCAAACATAACATCTATCTATCCTTTTTCTTGTGTTTCGATTTTTTATGTTTTGATTTGTGTTTCTTGCTTTTCTTTTTCTTATCCTTCTTCGATTTTAAATCCTTTGCTTCTACCCACGAGTCCGATTCGGACGATGAATCTATGTCTCTCTTTTCTTTACTTCTGTATACGGGTTTTAAATCATTTACAATTGTGTTATCTTCGAGTCGTTTTTTCAAATTATCGGGTATTTTCGGACCATAGACGTTGTCTTCATTTGTTTCTGGAGGGTCGTTACATTTTTCATTGTCTGTGGTTTTATTTGTAGGTTTCGTTTCGTTGACGGTTTTTGTCTCTGTAATTTTATCATCTGTGTTCCTCCTCCATGAGTTAAGTTCATCGAAATCTATATTAGCGAAAATACCACGAGGCGGTGAAGTGTTTCTTTCGACGTTTTTAGGTTTCTCTACAAAGTCATTAATATCTTTTGTATTTGATACCTTTGATGTTTCTTCTTCGTTTTCACTGTCACTTAGGAATATAGATTTGTATAAATCCATTTTATCGAATTTATTTATCGTTTCCGTAACAACATTTTGTTCGTTATTCTTAAGATCTTTCTCTGATTCCTTTAAGAATAATTCTGCAACTGTCATTCTTTTATTAAAACCAGTATTACTAGATACATGTGAAGTTTCTTGTATATCTTTCATTTTCTCTGTTATTACTTGTTTTGTTTTTGTAACTGTATCGATACAAAGTGATTTTGAGCCGCTGAATTTTGTTTGCTCCTTTGTAAAACTTTCTTTGTCGTGTACAGAGGATTCTAAATAGGAAAATATTGAATAAGACACTTTTGGTTTATCATCTTTCTTAGGCTCGTCTCTGTAACAATAAAAAATAATATGAAATTCTACAAAAAAACTATTAATAATTATGTTACTAAGAGAAGAGTTTCGACCAATATCTCAAGAAGCTCTCGCTAAACAGTTGGATTAAGGGCCCGATACAAAAGGTAGTTCCTAGATCCTAGAAACCGCACCCATTATGAAAAGGTTCCTGTCTCTGCATTCCTGACCACTGGTTGTTTGAGTCATGGGACTCCGCAGCCGGTGGTGTTCTATTTTTAATATAATATATTTTGTATAATTTTTTATTTTTTATATGAAATGTAATATATTAAGAATAAGGTTAATAAATGAATAAGTAATTAAGTTACTAATTGTAATTAGTTAATTTGGGTAAAAAATTAAGGTTAGCGTAAAATAGGTCTCACTTTGTTTATTGTAATAAAAAAATATATTGATGGCGTTTTGTTTTAGGAGATGGGAAGTGTAACGTTTTTTAGGTTTCTCTGCAATGACACTAAGATTTTTTTGTTTTTTTTTTAATTATGTATGTATGTATAACATGTGGATTATTTTTACCTTGTTGTACCAGGTTCGGGCACGTTAAATCGTTTGCAGACCAATGATTCCGGTCTCCAAGAGGTTTCTTTCCGTGTGATAGTACCGAATGCACCAATTCTTGCGGCTTCTATTTGTTCCGGTGTTGCCAGACCGTAGTTATTTGTGCTCTTAGCAACAGCACAAAGAGGATTTATTCCGTCGTCAGGTTCAGCAGCGTGTGTAAATCTAAATTGGAATAAATATTGTTATTAATACTAGCCGTTGCTCGCGATTCCGCGTGGATTTAGAATAAAAACTGAATAAACAGCCTATATGTTCTTCCAGACTATGTTCTATAAATTTTTTTTTTCCAAATTTCAAGATGAGCCGTTTCGGATGCCTTCAAACATCCATCCATATTAACAAGATTTCGCTTGCTATTGTAATTTTATTCCTATCCTTTTCCTATTGAATTCACTTAATAATGAATTATTACTTTAATAATTTTTCATATATGAAGTTAAAAAAGCCTTCCTACCTTTCTTCCATAATCCCTGTCAAAGGTTTATACAATTTTGCAGCTTGTTCGAACTCTGCCAGTTCTCTATCTCTTTCCCACTCACACAGTCTGTCCATATTGCTATCACTGTCTAACATAGCATCTTTGTTTTTCAAATATTTTTCATATCTCGCCTGTTTCGACGGATCGCCGACAAATGGTTTAAATACCTTTTGTATTTCTTTACCCGAATCTTTAATCGGTATAAAATCTAATTCGGTTTTCTTTTCCGTTGTAGAAACGAAGTTGACATTTCTCCCAACTATTTTTGCGATCGGATCACTTTGTAATGGTTTTGTTTCTGGTACAGTTGTCTTTGGTACAGGAGTTTCCCCTAATAAAGCACCCCTTGCTTCCGCTGTCAATTCATGACGACCTAATCCTAAAATTGTTAAAAATAGTTAGTTCGACCAAAAACATCTTTGGTCACTCTTGAAATCAAAAAGTTTTTATAATCTTACGTAAGCAAGAAATTATTTGTTTAGTAAAATTTCTCAAGCAGTGTTACATAGAAAAGCACCAAATTTAAATGTATCTCATTATTTTTTTAACTCAAATAAAAATACTAGGTAACCATTATACCTTGATCTCTGGGTGCTTGTGAGATGGGTTCAAACCTGGACCTGCGGCTGCCGGCGGGCGCGGGCGTGTAGTCCCGAGGTAACGCGGGGGGAGGGTACGACGGCACGGAAGGGAGGGGGACACTCGACTTAACGAAACCACTTAACACCTTAAAAAAAACAAATAATTTTATTTCTGAATTTTAGCATCAAAATATATTTTTTTTATAAGAAATTGATATTATTATCAAAGCGTATCTATGCATATCCGCAAGGCCAGTTATAGGGTAGGGCATGGTTGGGCAACCGCCCAGGGCCCTACAAGTCTGCGAATGTCCCTTTCTGTTAGATTACGTAGTCTCACGTAATCTTGTTAATTCCCCCAGCGCTAAGGCATAGTAAAAAGGGGGCGCTATAGAAATCTCGCCCAGGACTCCCACAGATCTGCCATTGCTGTATATCCTTCAGTTATTTTCAGTTTTACTTACATTATTAGTCTTAACATTAGCTTTCTTAGGTTTATCTTTAGCTGGGCCGCCTAATGTGAAGTCATAGTGTGACATGTCTTCAGTCGCGTAGATATCGTCGTCATCCGCTTCGAAAGCGCCAACACCGAACGCCTGACCACGTATAGATACCTGTATAAAAAAATAACATTTTAAACATAATAAGTTTATACTTTGAATAAGTTTCAACAGTGGTAGGGCCCGCTTTAACAGCTTCGCACGAATTGTCCCGGCTCGCCCGGTGAAATACCACCACCACACAGAAGACAGGCGTCAAATGGAAGCAATTCCGCGCAGTCTGATGAGTGTGCGTCCCGGAGGCCTAATTTAGTCCTCTTTCCCTTCCCACCCTTTTTCTTATAAGGAAAGGATGAGAAGCGTAAGTGGACTTTCCGGATGAGAGGATGCATGGAAAGGGAAAATATTTACTTTCTGTGCATACTATCCTCCGTCGATTAAAGATAGGCAACGCATATACAATTGCGCATTTCTATGGGCAACGGGCACTTCGCTATTTCAGCGATTTTAGGTGGCCGCTCGCTCGTTTGCCACCTTATAATATAAAAAAAAAACTATAAAGTTTCAAATCTAATAATTTTACATTAATAAGAAGTGCAGGTTTCCTAATAACCATTTAATATAAAAAAAAAACAAAAAAAAGTTAGGTAAAAAGTGCTATTAACAAAGAAAAATCCCTACTCTAATTGATATTAAGGTGATTATTATGAATCAACAAACCTTTTTTCCTTTTTCTTTCATAGTAAGATGACTTCTTGATGTTTCAGCATCTCCATACTCCCCGACTAAGTTCCCAAGAACTGAATGTCTGCTCAATCCACTATAACCCAATCCAAAGCGATCATTCTTACGCTGAAGTATATAAGGTTCATAATCGTCCGGAGCAAATAATGTATCATAATCAATTTCCGAATCGGAACTATCATCGTCTTCTGGAGGATTCTCCTGAAATAGATTTTAATTTGTAATAACTTAAAGTCGTACATACAAAAATAGAAAAAAACTTTAAACAATAATACTGTCATTTCTGTAAATATCTAATAGCTTTTTTTGTATTCGGTATATTAGTACTTAGACTAGCTGTTGCCCACAGCTTTGCACCATCTTCAAAGTTTTGATCAATATATTATACATACTTTATAAAAGATTGACCTAAAAGAATTCAATTTTATTTTTGATTCCATATGTCAATCTTACTTCTTACTAATAATCTAAATGCAAATGTTTGAATGTATGGATGGATGGATGTTGGAAGATATCTCCAGAACTGCGTCATTATTCTTTTTGAAATTTGACGATGTAAAACATACCTTGGAAGAACATATAGGATACTATTTTTTACTCGGACGGAATCGCGGACGGTAGCTAGTAGATTATAATCAAATTATTGAAGTAACAAAACTAACTTACATTTCTCATATCTGGCGGCATATAACACCCATACACCTTATGCTGTTCTTTAGCTCGCTTCTTCTCAGTCTTAGCGAGCCTCTCTCCAGTGCCTTGACCCTCACGCCAGCCCATAGCTCGCAACATTCTGACTGCTGCTGTATCATGTACTGCACGGACCAGTTGTTCCAATACTGGTTCACCTGGAATGTTTAAAGAAATACCTTAATAGTTTCTCGATAGTAGCCTGCGATATTCTGTATCTTATTGAAAAAGACAATTCAAATAATCAAGATCATGATCTTAGTAGTAATAATTCCATTACTACCAAATTTAATTCAGCTATGTATAGCTATTATAAAGTTACATGGTAACAATCAGCCATATATTCTAACTTTCACATATATAATAATACTAGCTGTCGCCCGTGACTCCATCCGCACGGGATTAAAAATAGATGTTGGCCCATTCTCAGACCTACTCAATATGCTCACAAAATTTCATGAGAATCGGTCAAGCCGTTTCGGTGGAGTATGGAAACGAAAATTGTGACACGAGAATTTTATATATAAGAAGTATTCCCCAATATTTTTTTCTTTGATTACACAACTAGACTTTGATTGTGACTTCGGCAGTAAGAATTAAAAAAGATTTCATCAACTACCTTTCCATCAAATCAGAAGCAACAAATGCAGACTTGCCCACAGGCAGACAAAATACTACAAGCAACACAATTTTTTTTCCTGATGTTATGCATAGATAAATTCACCTAATATTGAGTAACAAGTACTTACAGGCATGCAACAAACTAAATATTATTCAGATTGATATATTAGACAGGTAGAGGACAGGATGAACAGCTAAAGGTATAATTAATTAATAAAAATACCTGGTATTGGTCCATCAAAGAACTGTCGCCGTTGCCTCTTCTGACCAGAGAACTCTCTATGAGTCTCCAACTGCCGCGGTGCTATACCGAATTCATCACGATCCTCATCATCCATAAAGTCTTCTGGTCTTTGACTCTGAAATATTCATTACTTGTGAATTAAAGATATCACATTTTTTTAATTAATAAAGAAAGGGAACTGAACTCTTTAAGTGACACATCTCTTGGTACCATGAACTAATTTCTCATCCTCTTTTTATCATCATCATTTTTTATTAATGTCTGATTAATATATACCAGCATTAATTCATAATGGAATTACTGCATGTTTGATTGAATAATTCAAATCATTGTTGCACATGACATTTTTTCCATCCAGTATGACATAGGTGCCTTCAGGAGAAGTTTGAATATAGACTTACTAAGTTAACTCTTAGTGTGATCAAGCTATAGATTATTAATCAAAAAATCTGCTGGGTGTGATAGTTATTCAATAAAAGAATGATATACATACAGATATTGTGGCCTTGTCTGAGCGTGAACTTTTAAAACTGGCCGGTGCCCATCCTTCTGGGGTACCGACTGTGTTACCATAGCCAGCAGAAAAACCTCCAGTGAATGCACCATGGAACCTTCTACGTCCATGAGCATCCACAGCATACTGGTCCGCTGGCTGTTGAAACTTTCTTTTTGATGGAACTTCATCTTTAAATAAAAATATTTTAGAGTTATATTTTATACAATAGATTTGAAATATCTTACATAGCATTAAATACGGATAAATATTGTTAAAACAGAATTTTTTTTTTTCACGCGTAATAAATAATCGGCGACTTCGTACCTTCTTCATATGGCTCAAGAGGTGTTCCATAACGAATTACATTTTCTTCATCTGAATCGCTCATTGTTTCTAATTAAACCCAATTTAATTGATATATTGAACTCTTATCTTAATTTAAATTGAACATTTTGCAACAAAATATAAACATAACCTTATGTTAACTTTTTTTGACATTTACTTTATCAAGCTTTCAAAGAGCAAACGGTTCGATTTTACAAAGACTATGTTATCTAATGCATCGAAAAAATAACGATACAATGGAGAAAATATACACTACAGTGGATCTTTTAAATACATTGTCGCCTGTGCGGTAGCTTCCCGCCATATTTAAGTTTTAGGGTAATTTAATAAAATGCATTCTTGTCATCTACATCTATATTTATTATAAAGTAAAACATTTACATTTGATGTTTACTAATGTGCCTATACTTACAAATTATAATTAACGATGTAATAAGTGTAAACGTGCTCCTTACCAAATTATTGTACTGATTTCATTCCCGTACACATTCAGAAGAGTTATATTTTAAGATAATAGATAAATCTATATAAACACCTCTGTCTCATTTCCATTAACAATCTTTTGGGACAGTTATATCTAGCTGAGCAGTGCAAATATTTTGTCATTTAATTAAAAATAAATTATCACCTAACTGTAGCAGATCCAAATAATTTATCATCCATCAACATATCACTAATATAATGTTGAATCTTAGCTAGAGTTTTAAATCTATCATCACTATTTAAACATTCAATTAACAGCTTGTCTAAATAAGGTCGTGAGGTATTAATACTTTTTGGTATAGGATAGAGCAACGGATTATCCTCTCCTCCGATAATGTAACATGCTGCCCATAGATTATGGTCACTCAAGTGATGTTTGCACATGTTCTCAATTGAAAATGTGAATCCAGGTCCAATAAGTTCTCTGTTATAACGTTGGTACCAATCTGGTAAATCTTTTTTCGGTGATATATGCTTATCAAGTATTATAACATCTTCTAAATCAACAAAAGAAATTTCATCCTTTTCATTGGCAACTATATTATCTAGTGACCAATCCATTAGATAAAAGCGGAACCTGAAAATTAATAATAAAGTTTTATTCATACTATATTATTAGCTCATCTGATGATATTTTGAAAAAAGGATGAATAAATTTTAAAAACAAGTTCTAAAAATTAATGACAATTATTTTGTGGTACAAATATAAATAACTAGCATTTTCCCGACCTGTCTTTCAAAGATGATGTAGCTTCACAACATTGAAAGAATTTTTCAAATTAGTTTTGTAGTATCTAAGACTATTCAACGCAAATAAACAATACAATGTTTACTCTTTTTAAAATTAATACAGATTAAAATTATCTTTACCTATCATGTTTGAATGTAAAATCCATTGCTGCATCGAGAATCTTTTTAGCAATCTTCAGTTTCCTGCGCCACTCAATATGTGTTAATGATGAAATGGGCTCTCCTTCATATGCAACCACCTCTAGTCTTCCGCACACACCAGCATAAGCGGATACAGGCCAGCTGTGAGCCTTCGGGAGTATCTGAATTGATTAAATTCAATAAAGCATCAGGTTGACACAAGTACTATTTATCTCATTATTCAACTTCCAGTACTAATGTAAATATTTGGGTTGATTTCAAGGTTATTCTATTTAAGAAATTTATAATTGTTTCAGTTTAATACCTGTAAAATAATTGGTTCTGGATTAATACTGAGCATTGTCCAAATATTCAACATTTCGGACTTATTGTTTAATTTTCTATTATCTATGAGAGGTTTTATGAGATCAAGTATGCTATATGCATATGGACAAAGTACAAGCCCTTTACGTGGTTCAGCATCAGGCCAAGTAAAATTGTACTCTACAATATTAATGATTTTATCATCAATATTTGTTGCATTTACAAGCTGCATTGGTTTACAATTTTCTTCCATGTTCCATTTCTTGCATAAATTAGAATCAAACTCTTTTAATTCCCAATCATGAGCTAGCTTTTTCAAAATAACTTTCCTATTCGATTTTGTGGATCCGTAATAAATATTTTTAGCATTAAATACAAGTGACCAGTGACCGTCAGTTTGAAGACTTATCTGGTTCGAGTACAATTCAGGACATATTGATACACCGTAGCAAGCAGGACAGCGGTATAAATCAGTGAGATGATTTATTTGAGGTGAATTTAAGTTACCAAATAATAAAATGTAAACATAAAAAGACGCTACAATCACAAGGATCGCACAAATCCCTCGTTTACAATATCTACGTCTAAGTAACATTAATCTATACATTTTGTCCTTCATAATAATAATTTAGTTAGAAAAGGGCGCAGAGGCAAATTGATTCAGAGATTCTGTGATTTTTTATCATCATAATTTGATTAAAAAATATATATAAACACAAAGCGATTCACAACATATTTGACAGTGGCATCTGGTCGCATCTCTCAGCCAGTAACTGACACTGACAGTGACAGATACTTTTTTTTTTAATTTTATGACCTGGTAACATAGACCTTTAGGTCAATGACAGAGCCAAAAAACCAGAGTTCATAGAATAACTTGTGTGGAGTTGTCTTTGTGGTTTTGTAAGTTTGAATTTTACCATTTAGAAACTTGTGTCGATTAATTACTCTTATTTTCATACATCTTCTTACTGTGGAAAAATATATTTTTATTAAAGGCTAGCACGATTGAAGTTTTTTAAAAGATAGAAAAGTTGCCTTTCTACCTTTTTTCGTGTTCTAAAAAACGAAACATCATTGTTGCTGGGTAAAAACTAAAAAAAAATCTTTGCTATTTTTAATCTTTGTTGTCACTGCGTTTGCAAATTTTGGATAACAAATTCTTTTAGGACACGTGTACTTGCTTCAAATTACATCAAGTTTCATCACAGGACGTTTATTTTTAATCATATGATTGTCATATCAATTCATAACTAGTGAGTCCGTTTTGTGATTACAATTTTGTGCTCCGGTGTTCACAATGTCTGAATTTAAAGACTGGTATTATAGTGTACCCTTCTTCACAAGATACTGGCTATCTTGTACGATAATTTTAAGTTTAATAGGTCGATTTGGGATAATTCATTATCACAACTTTGTGTTGGACTTCTATCCTTTCATCTATCAGTTCCAGGTAAGCACATATTACATCTTTATTTGAATTATCGTAAAAATTATCACCAAAACAAACTGCGCTCTCAATTTGACTTCAGGAAGATGCACAAGACATGTTATTACCGTATAAGTTCTTTTGTTTTATTAAACAATGTGCTGATTAAGTTAATATACTTTTTTCCAGATATGGAGGCCACTTACAGCATTATTCTTTTATCCGATTGGACCAGGCACAGGTTTCCATTTTTTGATAAATTGCTACTTCCTCTACAATTATTCTCAAAGGTTGGAAACAGGGATATTTGCGGGAAAGCCAGCTGATTATTTCTACATGCTCCTGTTTAATTGGACTTGCTGTGTTGTTATTGGATTATTAGTTAATTTGCCAGTAAGTTACAATATTGCATTGAAATCTAGTGTTAATTGAAATAATGTAAGCTAATGTTTTATTTATTTTGTCAAATGAATCATAGCTAAAAATAGCTGTGGTCTGGGACTCTGTCCATGTGGAATTAAAAAAAACATTAAAAGTAAATAATGTTGTGTTCTTCCGCAATATTTTCTATTTGTATGCTAAATTTCATTGAGATCCATTCATTGATTCTTGAGATACTTTCAAACAAGCATCTATCCAACCATCCAAACATTAGCATTTATAATCTTAATCTACCCTTCTCTTGTCCCTAATTACAACATTTGCATTTCATATTTTTATTGTTCTTTTATTAAATATATATCATTTTACAGATATTGATGGATCCAATGGTGTTATCAGTGCTTTATGTTTGGTGTCAACTTAATAAGGATGTTATTGTGTCATTCTGGTTTGGAACACGCTTCAAGGCAATGTATTTACCTTGGGTTCTGCTTGCATTTAACCTTGTTTTAAGCGGAGGGTAAGTTTTATTGTTTTATCCATATTTTTTGTTCAAGTAGTAAAAGTAAGGTTGACTTTGATGCCAGTTTTCGATATCAAATTAAGCTTAATTACAATCAAACCTGGATAAGTGAGAACTAGCTAAGCCTAAAGCCTCTATAAACTAAAGTTTAAGGTCTGGTTTTGATGGACAACCTACATAAGCAAGAAACACAGGGAAAAATCCTTAAAGGCGAGATAAATATTGTGTCCCATTGGACTCTCGCTTATCCTGGTTTGACTTTTTTTAACATCATAAAAATAGAAATCACAGTAACAGTGAAGTGACCGTTGTCCATAGACATAAACAGTTGCATATGCATTGCCTACCTTTAATCAACGAAGGAGTGGATGCACAGGAAGAAAACAATTCCATGAATCCTCTCATCCGGAGAGTCCACTTCCACTTCCCTGACTGTATTGTTATTTTTATTTTATTGTGTTCTTTGACAGCACTGACAGTTGTGTTGACTTGTCATCCCTCATATTCTCTTTGTAAAAACAGAGACAACAATAATCACCCCATAACTTGAATTTTAATAATTATTAATTCTACATAATATGTTATTTTTACAGTGGAATGATGGAACTACTAGGTATCCTGATTGGTCATGTGGCATTCTTCCTTCTCTTCAAATATCCACAGGAGTTTGGTGGCCCTGCTTTGCTAACACCTCCTGCCTTCCTGTAAGTGTTTTTTTTTATTCCATTTATACTTTTCATGGTATTTAATCACATCTGCTTATGTGTGATAACTAGATCACTTATAGATCAGCCAATATAATATATGCCCATAGTGGCTCCATTTAGTGATGACTAAACCTTAGTCATCCAAAATAGCCCAGCGTGGGTTGATTAACTTCACAAATTTTATATATGGACAATAGTACCATAAGACGATTGTAATTATGAGTATGTAAATAATACTAGCATGATTTGGAATGACACTACTACTTCACTCATAGTTGTTAATTGGTCAATAAGAAAAAGATTAGTGCAGTTTCTCCTTTTAAATGGTCAGTTTATATGTTATAGTTATATACATAGGTAATAACTTCTTAATTATTTTGCAGAAAACAATTTTTTCCTGATACAAGATATATTGGGGGTTTCGGTACCGCGCCCCAAGCGAGAGTGGCGGAACGCCCGGCTGGTGGTGCAGTCTTTGGACGTCATAACTGGGGCAGAGGTCAAACGTTAGGAGGGAACTGAGTGGAGTAAAAAACTATTTATATATAGTAAAAGTGGATATGACTATTGGATTGTGCATCTTTTGATTGATCATCTATAATAGATATGTTGGTAATGAGCTATATTGTTTTTTTAATTTTCAGAAATAAAATATATCTTATTAAAGTAAATATGCTACAAATTTACACATAATATAAAATTATGAAGTAATCCTATATTATGATGGTCTTTCATATGTATAGGTCCTGGGTAAAGTTTGGATAAGTTGGATATGGTCTGGTTCTAACTGTGAGGTTCCACTGCCATTAAACATGTTATTTCATTCCCTTTGATAATAGAGAGATAACAATGTTTTTTACAGTGGAATCTCGCAGTTCTTAATTTTATGCTCTTCGTAAATTTTAATTAATAAATGTTGCGATGAGTCGACTATTTATTTAGTTATTTTTGTAAATAATTTACGTCAAAAGATAAAATTTTATCTTTGTCCCATTTGAAAACGGACAATCACTTTTATATTGTTATAATTTTTATACAGATTAAATGAGTACAGACATAAAATATTAAAATTATATTTTCTTTGGTAAAACCAATTGTTCATCGACTCATAAATGTCCCGACTTAGGGGCTCTTGTAGTCAACTAACCTGCTAAAACCCAACACTGACCCGGTGCAAGTTGACTAAACTTATCTTTTTTCTTTGAATTTCTTCGCAGATATGTGAAGGTTGAATAATAAAGTTTTCCTTCACCCAACCTGGATTTAAAGGAAGTCCTTTAAAATGGTTTCCACTAAGTTTATATGCTAACCCAAAAAATGTAGGCATTTTTATTATATTATAGTAAGTAAAAACTTGGCTCCACTGTTTAGAGGTGATACTAATAACCAATTTAGTGTAATAAAAATGGTTAAAAATGAATAAAAGCAGAATTTAAGGGTTTTTGTTTATGTATATTTATGATTATATAAACGACTGTCACGTACGTAAAAAAGACATAAGAGCAAAATGTTTTTTTTATTATTTCTTCAAATTCTATTTACAATTTATTTTTAGTTTAGAAATGTGACTTTTCCACTTTGTAAAAACGATGTACATACGTTTTAGTCTGATTTGCATTTCTATAAAACTGTAATGACTTAAATAAAATTTCTTTTAAAAATTGAATTTTAGTTTGTGAAAACTTAAATCCCTGCAGCTGAAGGTCTTTCGTGTTTTCTTTACATCAATATTATGTTATTTCTTCAGTTTCTAAGTATGCAAACCCTAAAAATAATATTAATTCTATTTGTAAAGAGTATTAAAAAATATCTTCTCTATATGTCAGTTGCTGTTCGTTAGTCTCGCTAAAGCCCAAGAAAAGCTGAATTGATTTCTTGGTCTTGAAATATTTGTGGAGGCCTAGGGAAGGTTTAAAAGATGAGAAAAATTCTAATAATTGCCGGGAACTAATTATGTTTTCCTTAATTACTCGCAGTCAGAGTAGTGGGCGACAACTAGTTCAGGGATATTCTTAAAGATAATAAAACAAAAAATATAAATACCAATAACTTTACTAATGTACATTTTTACAGTTTCTAATGGTGTGTATCCTTGGGGTCAGGCTTTCCGTATTCCTTCTCCCACATTGCGATGAATTCCTTCTTCCTTTGCTCACGTTTCTTGAAGTATTCAGGATACTGAGCCTTTTCCAATGGATGCCAGTAGTCAAGTACCCAATCAGGAGGTGTTACAACACGCTCATATGCTACACCGCCTGGACTTTTCGCAACTGTAACAAATAATTATTATAAATAATTAGACAAAAGGATTTTCATTATTATTACAGAGTTTTTCATGACTGTTAATGATTTTGTTGTAGTATGAGGAATAACTGAATTTATTTATAAAGCCATGCAAATAAATGTAAATAAACTGTTCACAGATTACATATTGTTTCTTACAATATTAAAAAAGCATCTCCTCGACTACAGTGATTATAGAACATGTGAAAATGTTATTTTAAATTTGTATTGCTTGCTATATGTAGAAGTAAATAGATAATAAGGGTGTAGCTTTGCATGTAATATAATTAATGCATAATTAAGACACCTATACAGCTTTTGTTTGTAAATTTATATTCTAGCAGTTGCCCGCAACCCTGTCAGTGCAGGATTAAATAAACCTTAGGTAGTCTATGTGTTCTTCCAGACTATGTTACTACATGTGTGCCAATAAGCTATGTCAGAGATACCTTCAAACTACCATCCATCCATCCATAAAAACTTTCGCATTTATAATATTAGTAAGATCTAATTAAAATTTGTTCAAGGTTCTTACATTTCTTAGGTATGGGATGTTGTGTTAAAAACAGTTCTTCCTCTCCCTGTTTCACCATTTCCGCGACCTTACGTGCATCCTTTTCGTTCAAAATTTTATCGAATTTTTCACGGCAAAGTACAGCCTGGTAGCGGTAAACATGGCTAGAAAAAAAAATTTTTTAGGCAATTTTTTATAGTTCTAGTTTAAAAACTATGTTTACAATATTACTATAAATATACTGTACTGAAATATCATCTTAAATTTACTACTTCTAATAAGTTTAATTTAATGAATCAACATCCTTTTCTACTTTTGATGTCGTACAGAGGTTATAATGTAAACTAAATACGATTTGATGAGTGTCAAAACTTATAATAACCTTCGCAGTAATTATCCATGCATCTGAGAAAGTAAACAATTATTATAAAATATTGAAATTACTTCAAAATAAAACAGAATATAATAATTACGTAATGTTTTGGGAGTTCAGGTGAAAATGGTAACAATTTTGACATCTTACCGTCTATCATAAAACGATTCTAAATTCCGCAATGTCCTTTTGTAAAGACTACATATTTTTTGAACTTGAGTTGGTATTCCCAGTGGAATATTCGACATATTTGTTGTTAAATTGTTTATCAGAGTTATATTGATTTTGATTTTTGACGGAATACGAAGACTGTCTTTTTGACAGATGACAGCATAATTTGACATTTGACTATTGTGACGTTGCCATATAAACCGACACGGCAAAAGTTTTGTAAATGTTCGTATTTCACTTATCTGCGCAATATTTTCATTGATATTTCCTTTTTTTTGATATTACTAATCAATTTACCTTCGCCATTATAAGAAATTATTTCCGTAATTTTTTCGCTACATGAAAAGGGTTTCTATTTTTTGGTAATGGTATATCTACATGCGGAAATTGATTACTTTTCATGAAACATATACAATAGCAAGTAGTAAAGCGATAAAGATTTCATACATTTTCTAAACATTACTTTTGATTTTTTAAGAATGAATTGTTATCAGTTTTACTGGACAAGGTGCCGAAGCAAGTTAGAGATGATAGATAAATGCTAACCACAAAGCTTTTCTCATGTATTCGTTACAAGGCTGCATGAACACGCATGTTGTTAAGATTATCTTTTGTTTAACGTATCAGTTAAACGTTGTATTACTACTATACTTATAGAAGGCCTGTGCCGGACCTAATAGAAATCTATGTCTAGCCTTTTGGATTATTTGTGTTTATAAGAAAAAGACTACAAGTTTTTGAAAGCAGTGTTAAGGGAAAAATAATCCCAGCTCTTTAGGTACTCTTCCGCTGTTCCGGTGGTTCTCAACATTCAATTGCAAAAATACATCTATGCGATTATGTAATGGTAGTAGTAAGTACTTAAAAATAAATCTTAAGTGTTCGAAGCTCATTAGCATAAATACTTCATATTAAATATTTATTTTAATCTGTACCTAGATGTACAATCAAAACATTATTAAATGCGATCACGAAAAACAAACCTCGAGCAACATTAACGAGGTCAAAGAAAGTTAGAAAAACGGACTCAATGAGATGACTAAAGTGGACCGGTTGGTGCGACTGCTGCTGAGTAACACCGACTCGATCTACCAATATGGCGGGAAAGAATATAACCTCACAATTTTTTTTCTTTTATTTACAAAAATTAAATTTATGAAATTACGATCAAAATTAGAAATAGCAATGTACAAGCGAAGTAAATTGAATGAAATTCAATACAATAAGAAATGGATTGAAAAGCGTAAAAATTCGATAATTTCATTAAAAAGTTGAATTGCACTCAGTGGATTACTGGTCTTATAGTTCAGAATTCTCATACTATATGTACACTAAGTATTTTCCTTAATGACCTAAATGATTCTCTGTGAAGGAATAAGTATTTTATTCGAAATTTAAATCATAAAAATTAAGAACAAAGAACTATCAAAGCTGTTAGTTTTTTTTGTTTTTAATATTTCGTAGAGTCAGACCCAATCATGGCTTTGAATAATTCGTCCAAGGAGGTTCAAGACTTACCGCTTTTACAACGTCCACCAGCCAGTGTTGAACAGTGTTCGGTCGACACTCGGAGCGGTGTGTACCATCGCTCAGAACGACTATTAAAAAAATTAAGAAAAATAAATCCGCGTCGGTTTTTCTATATCATCTGTGCTCTATTCATTTTTTTTACACAAAAGTGAAGAAATATTTTATCTACTTTCCTCGATTAAGTGGATTTTGTTTTATAGGTAAGAATTTATTTATTATTATTTTTAATCTATATCTATGAATTATTTTGATTTGTTAAGTTTTAATACAGTCCTAAATCTTCTAAGAAGAGTCCCTACAAAAATTAACTATACTAGGTAGGTTAAAAAATAACAAACTTCACGTTTAACTTTTATGAGTACAGACATACATTTTCTACGGTTTTTTCTATTATAGATGATTGTGAAAGCTTCTTGGTTCTACTTCAAAGAATAAATCCACTGTGTATATATTATAACAAAACATTATATTTAACAAAGGTCTTAATATATTTTATTAGGGAAAGGTAAACAAGTCTACCTACATAAATTAAATGAATGATAATATAAGTACATGAATTTATTATTTATGCACATATTTCATTATTAAAAGCCGATAAAAGGAAAAGTTCGCGTCTTAAAAAAAAAATCATCGAGATCGTATAATGATTTAAAACAATAATTTGCTCATCCTCATATGCCTATAGGAGTTGCTATAGGCAATGAAGGCATCTTTCGGTGATTTCTTTAAACCTACAATAAGTTCTCCCTTAGCGACCAATTAACTCTGAGTAATAAAGTTTTAATAAACAGACGTATTTTATTATACTTTATAATGGTAATTTACAATTAAACCACAATGTAAGTTAATACCTACTGTATTATAAGTATTAAGAACTTAAAAAAATCAAAGGTCGATTACTTTTACTTTTTTTAACTCTGACAACTTTAAATACTGGTTATTGTGTTTTATACATACATATGTTAATTGTATGTCGCCTTTACTGCCGATAAAGTTTACACAATGTTTTTATACCCTTTCCTTAAAATGCCAAGGTCTTATTAATTTTTCCATGCACTGCCTCTAAAATCGATTTGTCATGGAAATGTTTAAAAAGGTCGTCTTTGAACTTTTATAAAGCATTGTTGTCTGATGCATTTCTAAATTTAAAAAAAGTTAATTAACGATAAATCTTATCTTACTAATATTATAAATGCGAATGTTTAGATGGATGGATGGTTTGAAGGTATATCCAGAACAGCTGAACGGATCGCGATGAAATTTGGCAAACATATAAAAGATAGTCTGGATGAAAATATAGGCTACTAATTACATTTGAGAGTTAATTTGTAATAAAAAATAAGTCCGACTTTCTTTAGACGTTCCGTAGAATTTCATTTAAGTCATTTTGGTTACAGGGACCCTCCGAAATCATTACTTTACCACGAGTCTGGCAAAATATCTTCATATTCTGTAAGCATAATTTGTGTCTCGACCCTTTAACCTTTGCTAAATTGCTCAATGGTTAAATGTCCTTTGCCATAAACATGGCTTAAGAAATTGCAAATATCGCAATTTATTTTCATACTAGCTCGCCAACGACTCTGCGCGGATTTAAAAAAAACATAGTAGCCTGTGTTATCTTCCAGCCTAATCTTTCGCATTTATAATATTAGTAAGATTTCTAATTGACTTTAAAATGGAGGAGGTTCACAATTCATTTGAAATTAATATCGGAAAATAATTGTATCTTTAATTTTTACTATTTTAAGTTTTATTCATATAAACTACTTCGTTCGTTAGTCTGTCTTAAACTCGAGAACGGCTGAACGGATTTATTTTATCTTGGTCTTGAAAGGTTCCTGATGTTCTAGGGAAGGTTTAAAAGGTGAGAAAAATTCAAATATTATGTTTTTGTGTTGTTTTTGTTTATTGTGTTGTGATATTGAAAGGATTAAATGTTATTTTTTTTAATAATTGCCGAGAACTAATTAAGTTTTTTTCATTCCACGCGGACGGAGCCGCGGGCAACATAGTAGTTTTGCTTGGTATTAATTATCCGGGTGTCTTTAATAAAACGATTACTTTTTAATGAGGCTGAACCATAAATTCATAATTATATTTTATGACATTTTTCCAAGTCATAAGGTCAAGTTTATTGATTATTGCTGATGGCTCCGAATATATTCTGTTTTTTTAGGGTTCCGTACCTCATAGGAAAAAAACGGAACCCTTATAGGATCACTTTGTTGTCCGTCCGTCTGTCTGTCAAGACCCTTTTTCTCAAAAACGCGTGAAGGCATCAAGCTGGAATTTATTTTACTCACAAATCCTTTTAGTTGCTTTATCTTATAAAATTGCAAACAAATGTTTATTGATCTCTACCTTTTTTATTACATTTTTAAAAGAAAGTTCAATTGTCACAGCAAAAAGATTTTTCATTACTCTACAATTACCATAGATAAAAAGTACTCTAGATTTTTGGTTAAATAAAAAAAAATAGTTTATTGAAGGCAATAAATCGTGGACTTTCGAATACTTCAGTACCTAAACTCAACATTTTTCATTGTCGGTTAAAATTTCACCTTGTCGCTCGCGGTCGCGATGAATTGGGTCTAACTAAATTCGACATAACGAAAGTGAAATCAAAGCTCTCACTTTTGTATGTTGAAGTATGGAAATGTATGGCTATAACATAACTTTTTGACTAGATCACTTTCATTAATATTATGTACATCATATTCCTTTTATCGATGAAACATAGTTAATTAGCGGGTTTTATTGGTTGCGAATTGTTGGGTGTATTCTTATAGACATTATTAGTAAGAATCCTTTGGCGCGAATGGCGCTCTTTTATTGCCAAGTCAAGTGTCAGATTGATTAGTGAGGGGACATAAACGTCGACATTTTAGTAAGGCTAGTGTTGTGCGAGTACACGGGAACAGTGTCTGATTTTCTTCCTAACAAAATAAATGTTTTTTAGAAGTTTAAATTATCAAGGTTGGCACAGATGTAGAATATAGTCTGGAAGAACAGGCTACTAAGTTTTCTTTAGTACCGTGCGAATGGATTCGCAGGCTACAGTTAGTTTCGAATAAATTGTACGATAAGGTTGACATATTTGTATAAATTACATACTTGTTAACTATAAGTTATTGTCGAAGCACTCTTACAAAAACATTATATATATGTTGCGTAATATTAGAGACAGTGTCGCCTCTATTTGGTAGCCATTGGATATTGTCTATGGTAATGTGTAGAGTGACAAGGTTACACGTGTACTGAAGAACTCTACTACACTGAAACTCGTATACATATGGCTATCTCTTTCTTTTTCTTTAACAAAACAAAGACAACAATATGTTTTAATACAACTATCACTGGAGTTGGAACACTACGATTGTCTCAAATAATTAGCAGTTTGCTCATCATCACTCTGTCAATATAAACAGGTTATTAAGCAAATAGAGGCGACAAGAATACATGTCAAATTCCTATAGAATATTTGCGTATAACTTAAATAAAAAATGTTTAAAACTATTTGAAGTTTAACTCATATTCATTAAAAATTCAATATTTATTAGTGTTTAGATTTTTACAAAGGTTTTGGTTTAAAATGTTAACAAGGATATTAATAAGTACTAGCTAGTCTTACTATCTTACTTATTACTGATATTTTAAACGCGAATGTTTGGATAGATGTTTGTTTGAAGGTATCTCCAGAACGGCTGAATGGATCTCGTTGAAATTTGTAGAACATAGTCTGGAAGAACACATAGTCTACTTATTAACTTTGTTTTTAATCTCTCGCGGACGGAGTCGCGTGCGACATCGACTTTGCAATAAATATCTTATTTTAATTAGAGTGGTCGATTAAAGAAAGATGCATAAAACGTAAATTTCTTTGTTATATTATAAATTTATATATTAATAGTAATAAAAACAGCAAAAATCTACGTAATACTGCTACTTGTTTTAACTGAATATTTATAGAAGTGAAATCATCCGGAAACTTCGTCTCTCTGTGTTAATTACGATTCAAACGAACACACGACATATAGGGTTGGCACTAATATCTACATAAAAGTGGGGAGTTGTTTTATCGTAAATTGTGGTATTATTGAACCAAATTTATCATAATTAGAAAGTAACACTAAAATTGGATGTATTTATTATAATTAACACTAATAACGAACTTAATTATTTTAGTTATGACCTCAAAAAAGTTATGTTCTTTATCTCCGTCGTGTCATTTATTTTCTCTAGCTTCCGTTGATTTTTGTCAAAAAATTAAGCTCAATCATTTCGTTCTACATTATTTTTTATTCACGTCATTAAATTAACATGATTTAAATCAGTCATCGATCGCTTACGAAGAAAGAGAGGATTAAATAAAAATTATGGCAACCCTAGCAACATTACGAAAATCCCGCACTACAAACCTACATTCTTCAATTCACTTGGTTATGCGGACCTCGTCTCTTGCTAGGTAAATCCACTTTGAATAAAGAATTTTATTAACGAAACTAAATAACTATTGTTTGATTGTTCAATTAGCTAACAACTACAGACCACAGAGTACCCGCACAATCTTTACAAATATATTCTGCTCCTGATCCCCCAAAGGTGATGAAATGATATGAGGGGTTTTACCTACAAAAAACCCCTCATATCATAACCTTGTGCAAGTGACGGAGTTCCAGATTATGCGATGTAACGCACTGATGCAAGGAATAATATAAACTGGGCACAAGTTAAGGTTGATTAGGCTTTAGTCAACCACGTTTGTTATCTTTTTAATATTATAAAAGCGAATGTTTGGATGGATGGATGTTTGTTTGAAGGTATCTTGAGAACGGCTGTATGGATTTCGCTGAAATTTGGCATAGTCTGGAAGAACACGTAGGCTACTAATATATTTTATTGTAATACCGCGATGACGGAGTCGCGGCGACAGCTATTAGGTTATAATAAGTCGTGTATTGAAAGCCTAATATAATCTGTGACACTTTTGTTCACGCTTATAATTATGCGGGTTGAAGTTACATCATTTGTATCTTGCTTTGTACAACTTCCGTTGACCTAGTTTTCTATACATGTGTCGCTTTTAGCAGTGTCAATTTGAATTGGTCATCTGTTGTGTTCTTGTATTATTACAAACTAGCTGTCGCCCTCGACTCCATCCGCGTGGATATAAAAAAAATCTTAATTAGTATAGAAT